ACTGCTGGTCGGAAGGGGCCTGGCGTGGAATAACTTCCCGGCTGGCCACTGGGTCCTCCAGAAACCTTCTGCCCTTTTCAAGCAGTCTTAAGAAATGTCCTGTTTTATAGGGTGTTAGTGACTTTTTTTTCCTGGTCGCTAGGTGGCGCCAGAGATCTCTCCTATTGTCCTTGGGGGGCTGTTTTTCGCCTCCCCCCACCCCGTGGGACAGAGAACAGAGCGGGAATGGTAGGGTACACCTCAACAGCTTTGGGGTGCTGTGTCTGCCTTGTGCCCCACCGTCGTGGAGAAACCACGCCCCGAATTTTCGTGCCCCGGGTCTCAGTTCAAAGCCCTCAGTTCCAGGACGCGGGCTGTAGCCCAGTTCAGTGGCGTGGGAATGGCGCCTTTTGCACCGCTCCCGTGCCTGGGTGCCTGGATCCTGCTCACTCAGGGAGGGACCTTCACCTCAGTGAGGACCTCCGCGCGTCTCCCCGCAAGCCTAGGTCGTCTCCCCGCAAGCCTAGGTCGCAGGCGCGGGGACCTGGGCAGCCGCGATCCAGGTCTGCACTTGCTTTTCAAGCGCGCCGAGCACTCCGCGTTTCCGCGCCAGCTTACCGGCAGCCCGGGCTGTGTGCGCGTCTCCCGGGGTCTTTGTTCTTCTCTAATGGCGCCCGGAGCCGTTTGCTCACCGCCGCGGCGGATCCTGCAGGGTTCGCCTCAGCTCCCGTTCACGGGGTGTGGTGGCTGCAATAGTTCCTTTCCGCTCACAGTCCCGCTTGCTGCCTCGTTTGTTCTTAAATTTTTTTTTTAAATAGAGGCATGTTTTTATTTATTTATTTGTTTGTTTGTTTGTTTTGTTTATACATGCACTGGGTACAGTCAGAAGCGCGGGAGGGTGAGAGAATTCACCAGAGCCAGAGCGGGGAGCAGAGCAGGCAGAAGGACCTAAGTACAGTGCTCCGGGGATCGAACCGGCGCTGCAGAGGCCGCAGGCAGCTTCGCAACCCAGCGCTCAACCACTGCGCCACCAGGGAGGCCCTCCTTTTTCGAATTCCTGGAGTGACTCCAATTTTTACCTTTCCTGCATGTGACTGCCAATGACCTTGGGAAACGCCTAGTGGGTTGATTTCAGGGTTACCAATAAATTTTATCAAGTATGCAAGTCCACAAATTATTCATGAATAATGAAGATCAAATGTCTACAGCTCACTGACTGTTCAGAGGATGCTTGGGGAAATACCAGTAGTCCATTTCTTTGATTTGAAAGCTCTAAACAATGGAAATCTATAATGCCACATGGCAAAATAGTTTCTGCCTTTATTTCCAAATTTTCCTCAATGAACCTGATTTATGTTGAAGTAACTTTTAACTCAAAAACGTTCACACATAGGTCCCCTCCGGTCCCACACTCATCTCCCTTCTTCCTGCAATTTGAGACCATCTCCTCTGGGCTCTCTCTTATCCCGCTTCCCCCCCAGTTCAGACCTCTCGTTTCATCACAGCCGTACAAGTGGGGAGTCAACCTGCAACCTGGAGCCTGTTCAGAATGCACAGCATCCTGCAGCGCCAGCGCCAGAGACCTCCGGAGAGCACGCATTTCATTTCCTACACACGGAGCAACTCATTTTTTATATCAGTCAGACTAAAGCAATTCCCTCCGTGATGTTCATCCTCCCAGTTTGGGAATGCAAAGCAGACAATAAATCCCTCTGTACCCAAAGGAGGTGGAAAGGTGACAGATGAGTCATCCATGTCTTAAAAAGTGCTACAGAGAAAACGAAAAGGTGAGTGAAATTCTAAAGAAAACATCTGCAAGCAAAAGGCACCATTTCCAGTGCACAGAGTGATCCATTGGACATGGAGAAGCATTAAACCTGAAAAGATAAAGGGGATGAACGGAACCTTCCCAGAAGAGAGACAAGTAGAGAGTCCTAGGCAGATGTTCAGTATGCACTGCACAGGAATTTATCCTCCAATAAACAGAAAGAAAGAAACACAATTCATACAAAGATGCTATGGTGGCATCTGCGTTAGAGAAGATGCCTCAACACTTGCCCAGGAAGCTGTACACCCGGGATTATACAGGGGTGTAAATGAATGGCAACTCAATAAAAATTGAATTAAAAAAATAGAGAATGACATTTGCAACCACGTGCTGGATAGCGGGTATGCACAAACTCATGGCGGATCTCCCACATGGAAGAGCCAACATCAGTAACCTAACCATGAGAGCTGGTTGGCAAAGGAAAACTGTTCATGTCAGATTTTAAAAGCTGGATGGCAAAACCATCTGTGGACTTAGAATGACAGCTCCACACATTTTTGTGTTCTGTGTTAGAGTCTGAAAAGGAAGGAAAAAATGAAACTAGCTCATCTAGGGTGCTGGGGACCATGGGGCACGTTGTCTCGACCTTCCCATATCTGTTTCTATTGTAATATTGTTGTCTGTGCAATAACTAAATAAAATACTATTTATTCCTGTTAAAAGTATCCAGGAGATAATTTTTCAAGCTCTAAAAAAAAAAAAGAGGTAAGGGGCCAGGCAACTTTTCCTCTGAGGGAGGTCTTGCACCTCATAGTTTCTCAGACTGGAAGGTGGCATCTTGTTGAACTACCGACTGGGATTCAGTAGGCTGGGTGGGGTTCCCCAGGGGTGCCAGTGTGGCTCGGCATGGACCACAATTTAAAAAGTATGAATCTTGGGTCTCCTTGGTGGCATCAAAATGCAAGTGCCAGACCAATGGAATCGAATAGAAATCCAGAAATAAACCCACAGATTTATGGTCAACTAATATTTGACAAAGGGGCAAAGAATATGCACTGGAGCAAAGAAAGTTTGTTCAATAAATGGTGCTGGAAAAACTGGTTGCTACATGCAAAAGAATGAAGCTTGACCACTACCTCACACCATGCACAAAAGCCAACTCAAAATGGATTAAAGAACTAGACATAAGACCTGAAACCATAAAATACATAGAAGGAAATATAGGCAAAACACTACATGACATGCACATCAAAGACATCTTTACAGACACATCACCCAAAGCAGTGATAGTGAAGGCAAAGATAAACAGCTGGGACTACATCAAATTAAAGAGCTTCTGCACAGCAAAAGAGACAATAACCAAAACAAAGAGAAACCCCACCAACTGGGAGAACATTTTTGCACACAACGCTAATGATAAAGGACTGATGACAAAAATCTACGAAGAGCTGATGAGACTCAACAACAAAGAAAATAATCCAGTCAAAATATGGGCAGAAGAGCTAAAAAGAAACTTCTCTGAAGAAGAAATGCAAATGGCCAACAGGTATATGAAAAAATATTCAACATCACTTGTCATCAGGGAAATGCAAATCAAAACTACCATGAGATACCATCTTACACCAGTGAGAATGGCACATATTAAAAAAACTAGCAACAACAAATGTTGGCGAGGTTGTGGAGAAAAAGGAACTCTCCTGCACTGTTGCTGGGAGTGCAAACTGGTCCAACCACTTTGGAGAGCTGTGTGGAGATTCCTCAACCTACTAGATAGAGCTTCCATATGATCCAGCAATTCCACTCCTAGGTATTTACCCAAATGCCCAAACAACCCAAATGCCCAAAAATAGATGGAAACAACCCAAATGCCCAAAAATAGATGACTGGATCAAGAAGATGTGGTACATATACACAATGGAATATTACTCAGCAATCAAAAAAGATAAACTCATGCAGTTTGCAGCCACATGGACGGAGCTAGAAGGGATCATGCTCAGCGAAATAAGTCAGAAAGAAAAAGAAAAATACCGGATGGTCTCACTCATAGCAGGAATTTAGAAAACCTAAATAAGAGACCAGGAAAAAGACTAATCAATACAAAGTGAAAATCAAAATCAACAAGCAACTATAAACCAGAGACACACTACGGGGTGGGGGCGGGGAAAGGAAGGACTAGAGTCAAAATAAGGGGGGAGATGCAATTGTATGGGGAATATAACCAAAATGAAAATGCATACATTGTGCAAAGATGAAAAAAGATGTAAGAATTATATAAAATAAAATATTGAAATTTAAAAAAATGCAAGTGCCAGAAATCTAATAGCAAGTCAATGTGACTTCTGAACACAAGTTCTCACCAGATAGAAAGCATGTGTGTGTGTGTATATGTGTGTATGTGTGTATTTTTCAAACTCATGAACTCTTCTGGGGGAAAATAAAAATTAACAGTTTAAAAAATATGAAAGCAGTTAATTATTATTTGTACCATAATTGGTCAAATAGCAGTTTATTTTGCATGTGTATATATACACGCAAACACACACGCACATATATATTTTCTTATATAGGAGTCCTAAGAATCACATCTTTATATGACCACTGTATTTTTTTCCCTGAAAGGCAGCTTTTCAACTGTGTTTATTAAAATACACACTTACTTTGCTATAATTAAAAAAAAATACAATTTTACTTAAATCCATTGGCTTCACGAGCATGCAATTCTTCCTTGAGTGCTTTGTCAAACCTTCAAATAATTCTTTTCAAATAGTTATTTAGAACAAATTGCATAGCACACCAAGGTCCCCAGGGCTTGCAGAGAAGGGTCAGTGGGATTTGATACCCCTGTGAAGTGTACCCAGGTCACAGGCCCTTGCCCCTGGGGCATCCCACTGCTGGCACAGCAGTGCGTGCTCACCAGCAACCCCACACCCTCGCAGATGTCCTGCCAGCCTGAAGAAATCACCCCCAACTTCCACCCCAACGACGAGCAGATCCAGGGCAAGCAGGCTAGAGACCCAACCTCTTATGGCTGAGTGGGGTGTCTCCAGGAGCAACTAGCTACCAACCAGCCCTCCACGAGCCTGTCTGGCATTGCAGATGCCCCTGCTGAGTGGCCAGAACGTGCACACACAAGCTGCCTCTGAAGGAAGCGCTAAGCCCGCGCATCTGCCTCCACATCTGTGCAGGCTCTACCCCAACCTCCTTCACTCTCTAGGCCCCTCCACCCCTTCCCTGCAAATGGCCAGCATCCTACCTGCTCTTGGGGCCACTTTGGCCTGTCCTCTGGAGTCCTGCTCTTGGTCTTGAAGCCTCTCTGGGGGTCTCCAGAGTGTTTGGCCTCAGGAGGGAGGTTCAGTGACTTGGGCCTTCCCTCATGCCTGCTGGGACCTCGGCTGGCCTCGCTGGGCGGGCAGGCCTCCGTGAGGTCCCCAGCTGCTGGCTCAGGTCCCTGCCCGAGGGTGTGCTCAGGGCTGGTGTCCCCGGCACTGGCGATGCTGGTCATACTCAAGCTCATCTTGATCTCAGCCACGATCTGATCAATGTCCTCTTCCTGGTCCTCCAGTTCCCCATCCCCACGCCGGGGGCGATAGGGGGCCGCACCCCCTGTGTTCCCGTTGGCCTCTGCGGGGTAGTAGTCCTGGTAGCCCTCTTCGCTGGGACAGTAGTGGACCCCTTCTTCCTGGTCCTGGGCCTCCAGGACGGAAGACTCGTCCTCTGGGATGGGGAGGTGACCGTCTCGGTAGTCCGGGCTGCCTTGGTCCTCATGGCCATGCGGGTGTGGGCCTGCCGAGTCCGTCCACTCCTCCACCGCCTCCTGGCACTCATCCGTCTCCAGGTGGTGTGCGCCGTGGGCCAGGTACCCCTCCCCGTTGCAGTCCATGCCCTCCAAGTAGCTGTCGTCCTCAGGACAGTAGCGGATGTAGTAGGTGATGCCCTCCTCCTCCTCAGGGAGGCCCTCATCGTAATCCTCTTCCTCTGAGGTGTTGTTCACATAGTCAGAGCTGGAGTCCCCGTCCGGGCTGTGGTCATGGCACTCCTGCTCCACAGGCGTGGGGCTCTCCGGCCGCAGGGTGGCCAGCTCCAGGCCCTGGGGCTCATATTCCTCCAGGGGCAGCTCCACGTCCTCACCCTCGGGCTCCTGGCTGTGGGGCATGGGGCCCGGCCTCACCCTGTGGTCTAGCATGCTGCTCGCTGTGCTCTGACGCTTCCGATTGGCCATGGTGGACGCTCACACGGCCATCATCCCCTGGAGGCAGCCACTGTGAGGAGGAACATCAGAAAGAGAAGTCAGAACCCCACAAAGCACGGCCACCCCAAGAATCATGCCAGGATGCACCCGAGTGTCACCAGCCTGCTTTCTCAGAACAAACTAACACACATCTGTTCAAATAACGTGACCACCTCACCCCAGCTGTCTCGTGTCTTGGATCGAGATGCATGCATGCCAAAGAGAAAGGGGGTACACAGGGCAGAGGAAAGGGAGGCTGAGGCTCCATACCAGGTCCCCTGCTTCTTTCCCTGAAGCTCACCAGCTCATTCATGGGTCCTTGAAAATGCTCACTCGATCTGGACAGCCCAAGTGACCAAACAAATGGCCCGAAGATCAGGTTGTTTGCTCTCAAAATGAAAGGAGCTTTTGCTCAACACGATGAAGCGAGATAGGGAGAAGTTTCCCCTCCCCTACAAGCCTGTCCTGCCCTCCTTGACACAGAAAACTCTTCTTCCTTCTCACTCCAAATCACACAACATCCATCCAGTGACTGGACTGGCCAGGATCTCCCCAGGATAAGCACCTTACAGAGATGCTGAAGCTGGGCTGCAGCCCCCCAGGTTCCAAGGGGTGAGGGTACAGGAGGGAGGACACCACTAGAAGGATTCACTGCCTGCATCCCAGAGAAGAGGAACACACAGGGGAGGGCAGAGGAAGTGGGTTAGGGGGCATGGTTACTTGCAAAGATTCCAGGCACCAAGGCTGGGGGGTCCCTCACCCCAATTGCCAGAGCTATGCATTTTATCCCGAGACCTATGCAGAGTCCTTACGCAATGTTCAGCAAGAGCACAATCACCTGGTTTCTCTCTCATCTCCACCTCTCTGGACCCAGCATGGAGGAGACTCTGGGGGACAGAAGGCTGGAGGAAGGGAGAGCTGAGAAGAGACTGTTCTAAGGGAATAGTCTCTCAAGGAAGCTTCAGGAAAGGGGCATCCATACCCGGTGTTCAAATGTTCGTTAATGTTCTACTTTTTTTTTTAATGTTCTACTTTTTAAGCTGAGTGGGTGTCCAGAGGTTTGCTTTATTCTTTCAATTACTTTTGTATTACATGTGCCTTTTTTTATTGTGGGACCCTCGCCGGTGGCCAGGGATCGAACTGGCGCTGCAGAGGCTGCCAGGCAGCCTTGCAACCCAGCGCTCAACCACTGCGCCACCAGGGGAAGCCCTACATGTGCCTTTTTTTAATTTGCATGACAGTTTTCACTGATTTAAAAGACTTACTTTGCTAGTAAGATATGAGAGTCTTTGTATTCAAAAAGGGTTAAAAGGATAAGTATGTTACCAGTATTTTACCAAAATTAAAAAAAAATTAATGAGAGCTTAAACAACAACAGCTGGAAATGAGAAAGAAGCAAATCAGCAAGTATTTAGCAAGTAAAAGTAGTGGGATTGGGGGTCAGTAGGGAGGGGACATAGGGGTTCCCCAGGCAGTCCCTGCCCAGGATCCTAACTTGCCCCTGAACATACTTTCTTCTCCCGTGTCTCCCCAGGGAAGTCATAAGCTAAAGACCTTCTGCATTCAGTATTCCCCAGGGCACCCAGCACAGCATCTTGCTTGTTGTGGTGCCTAAAACACATCTTGTTATGAGATCGGGTATACCAGATGGTCGCAGTCACAGCACTATGAATATTCCCCAAAGAATGGAGGAGATAATTATTTCATCCAGTCCAGACACTCAGAGTGTGAGCACAATTACTGATTAAGCCACATGCTTAATTCACTCCAAGTTTCCCATCACCAGGGGCCCTCAAATGGCCAAAATGCTGAAAGCTGTGCAAAGACTGGAGCGATATCCCACACCAGGAAGTTTAGCACTGAGCTGTACCCTGTAGGGTCTGAATGCCTTCCAGAGTCACTCCATTCCCAAACCCTGAAACTGGCAGGACAATTCCAGGAGTTTCCTCCCAGGCAGGGAGCAAGGTGCTCAGTGCTTCAGGTCACTGAGCTTCCTCCCTGCCACTCATCATCTTAAAAATGGTCTCTACCATTCACAGAGAAGGTCAGACACTGGGGACTTGCCATATTAGCGCTATAGGGATGCCAGAAGAACTCGGGCCCCACACTCCTTTGAACACAGTCGCCACTAACAGGTCGCCACTAACAGTCGCCCAAAATGGTCCCTCAAAAGCAAGCATTGAATAAAAGGGTTAACGGAGATCTGATTCCTATGGCAGAAGGGGTAGCAGCTACTCTCAAGTGAGCACACAGTTCCTACTCCCTGGGGGTGACGGCATCTCTGCAGCACTTTCGTATTCCGTACCTCCCCAGGGCTTACACCAGACCAGCACCCTGCAGATACCCACCACCTTGCTAAGAACAAACAGACACACAGTGCCTCTATCTTAACTTTAAGGTCTATATCACTTATGGGATAAAATCTGTACACACACACAATGGCCACGCCTATAGAAAACACCCTCTCAGGCAACATAAGACACAAAGACTAAAATACATACATGAGAATAACATGAGACAGTCCCAGATCCTACTAATAAGTACCCAAGTGAACTATAATGTAAGGTTGCCCAGGCAAAATCTCAGTGGAATACTGGGGTAAGTTAGCTCCAATGATTCTCAAGTTTATTTAGAAAACTAAACATGTGGAAACAGCTCAAAAATATCTGAAAATAAAAATGAGGGAAAACTTGTTTTATCAAGTATTTAAATACACAGTTAAGTCCTCATTACACATCATTGCCAAAAGGTTCTTGGGAACTGTGACTTAATCAAAATGGGCACATGATGAAACCAATTTCACCAAAGGCTAATTAACATAAACAAGAATTATGTTTCTATTGCCTACTTCTGGTTACAAAAACATCATCAAGCTTCTCAATAACGACCCAAAATACTTCTAATACTCAACAATCATCTTCAGCCATTCACTTTCCAACCTGCTTATTCCAGTCCAGGGTGGCCAATGGCTGGAGCTTACCCTAGCTATTCAGGGAGCCAGTGGAACCCCAACCCTTCCATCTGGAGGCACATCACACCCATACTCACACACTCGCCCTGACTTGGACAACTGAGTTAAGCCAATGAGCCTCATGAGCACAGCTTTGGGACATGGAAGGAAACTGGGGTCCTTGGAGAAAACCCACACTCTGGAAAGACTGTGCCAACTTCACAAAGGCAATGGTCCAGGCTGGGAATGGATTTTCTTTTTGCATCAGTATTTTAACAAAATGTGGAACAAAACACATTTAAGGATCTGTAGTATTCTAAAGTCACAGTCATTTAAATGACATGGTCTTGTTGCTGGATGGATAAATATCATATAAAGTAGAAAATCCAGAAGCAGAACTATTCCTAAATAAGAATGTAGTTTAAAACATGTAGGGTTATCAGCCATCCAGAACACTGAACTTTCAGTGCTAACAACAGGATGGGGGCGGGGGTCAACCTAAGGCGTGTGAAAAAGAATATTCTATTCAACGAGGGGTGTTGGGATATTGGGTAAATGAGAGATTCTCAAATTTTGCTATACCCTGAATTAACTGAGGAGTCTTTACAAGTACTGGTGTCTGGCATTCCAATTTCATTGGTATGCGGTGGGACCTGGCAGCCAGACTTTCAATGTACAGCAAAGTTTGCAAACCACTGGGAGAAAAATCATTTGGAAGAAAACTGCCTTCTCTTTTACATATATACAGTGTTCAGATGAGCTAAATATTTAAACATCAAGGAAAGGACTCCATAGAGTGGTCAGATTTGCTTGCTTCAAGGGGAAATGCTTGGACACTCCTATGGGATATCTGGACCCCCATGAAGCTGAGGGTGGGATGCAGCTCACAGACCCAGAAAATGTCACAGGGAGGAGCACATGTTTCCTCTGGCTCCAGGAAACAAGGCCATTTTTCCCTGAAGCAAGCAGATTTGGTCGGGGATAGCCATCTCTGTCCAGATGTAAAAAAGAGGTTCCCTCCTCATGTCTCAACCATGAAGACCAATGACCAACCTAAATGCTGCCAGTTACCAGAAAATCGTCTCTCACTCTACCTCTACTGTCCAACAAGAGATTTTTATACATTTATCATTGGTCCTGTGAACATACTGTATAATGTTCTAGAAAATGACCCCTTTTGCGCTGGCAGACAGAAAAGCAAGACCATCTGCACACACTTGACGTCTGAACCAGCTTGATACACAATCTGATGCCTGCAGGGAAAGCCAGTCTTTTCACTCTCACAGACAATGACCAAAGAGCCCAAAAAGCATCTCTACAGTACATTCTTTGGAAAGAGATTAAAACCTGCATTGATTCCCTCTGTGCATAGACAGTATCAACATATTTTTAGGTAGGGATAACTTAGAAACTTCCGTTAAGAATAATTACATTTTTAATGTCAATGACTCACTGTTCCTATCTATATAACCTAAATTCAAAGGCATATTTGTTGGAGCAATTCTTACAGAATAAAATCTGTCCAACTGTTTCCCAAGTTTGAATCCTCACTTCATCTAATAAGCTCTTTGTCTAAGTATCATGGAGACTTTATTTCCAGTTAACTGTTTTTCACCTAATTTCACCCAAGCAGGATCGCCCCATTTATTTAAGTCCTAAAGGTCCCTGGACAGGACTGCATTTCTTCATAGCTCTAGACATCTCATATAAGTTTATTTCTAACTTTTTTTTTTTTTGGGTGGTTGTTGGGAGTGAATTTTCTCTCCCATTATATATTTACCTGGTTATTGTTGGTACATTAAAAAAAAAATCTATAGTGATCTTACGGAAGCCCATGTTTAGTTTTTTTAAGATTTATTTATTTATGCATACAAGAATTGGGGTACAGTTCGGAGGTACGGGGGGAGGGAGGGTGAGAGAATTTCACCAAGGCTGAGTGAGGAACAGAATAGGCAGATCGACTGAAATACTCTGCTGAGGAGAGCAGCAGGCGAGACAGGAGAGGTCTGCTGCTCCAAGTGGGTAGATCCCTGGCAGTCAGGAATCGAACTCATGCCGCAGAGGCTGCAGATCGCTTCATA